GCGCAGAAGATGGGCCCTTGAAAACCCAGGGGAGGCAAATGGGGGGGGAGGGCAAAAGATGACCCCCGCTGCCATCACACCCCTGTGGCCCAGGGCCAGGAGGGCCACTTCCCCGCCTGGCTGCCCACCATCCCCTCCCACCCTACCCCTCAGCCGGCCTCCTGCCGTGTACCTCAGTCTGAAATCACACCCATACATTTGAGATAAGTGGCTACTTAGGGCCTCCTTTACTGCCCATCTCTCCCTACAGGGAGACAGCTCTGAGGTCAAAGGGACCTTCCATTGTCTCCCGGAGTGCATCCCTAGCCCCGGAGAAGCTCCCCAGGCGGCAGGTGGTCCCTCGGGGAGTGTTTGTGGGCCCATCACTATTACTGTTACTGTTGAGTCACTCAGAAAAACAACTGCAGAAATGAGAAGGAAGAAGAAAAAAACGAGGAGAAGGAAGAAAACACGAGAAGGAGGAGAGGACACGGGGGCTTGAGCCTGAACACTGCGCCCACACAAGGAAGCGTCCCCTCTCACGCCCACGGGAAGGGGGAGGGGTTCCGCAGCCGAAATGCAGCCACTCCTATAGGACAGAAGGCATCACTACTGTTTGGGGGGGCGCTTCTCCAGCTCTGCCTTTTTCCCAGTTGGGCACTTTCTTCTCCCAGTCTGTCCTGGAGCCCCGGGCAGGAGGGTCCTTTCTTGGACAAGGAGACACAGTTGTACCCATGTGCCCTGAAGTCCAGCCCCTCCTCAGCACAGTAGCGTCTGTCGGGTTCTGGTTCCCCAGGCAGAGGGTGGGTGCAGGGGCCACACATCCAGCCTACACCACCAGCACAGAGGCCTCTCTTCCTGCCACACCAGAGGACACACGCCCCTCCCCTGGGGCTGGCTATGACCAGACCCCAGCTGGTGGCAGTTCCCGGACCTGCAGGACTCCCAGACATCAGCTAAAGCAGCGGTCCCACCTGAGCATCAGCCAGACCCCGAGGGGCTCCTGATTCAGGTGCTGAAGCACAGTGGCACACTTCCCTCCCAGACCCGGGCCAGGCTGTCCCCAGGGCCCCTGGAGCCCCGAGCAGGAGGGTCACCAGTGGGTGAGTGGGCTCAGGGCCACCTTCCTCTCCCAGGACCCCTCTTGGTCCCCACCGCCACTGGCCCAGAGAAGGGGCCCAGAGGACCCGAGCGGGGAGACACAAAGTCCTCTCCATGGATTCAAGTTCACAGGCTGTGGGAGCCTCAGTTTCCTTACCTGTGAAATGGGAAAATAAGGCTACAACCTTCAGGGTTTCGGGAGGATACAGTGCGCTAGCAGACAGGCAGTGCTCAGGACGGGACCGGCAGGCCATGAGCCCCCTGGGGGTGGCTACTGCTGGCATCAGCCTTATCCGGTGAAGACCAGGGGATGCAGGAGTCCTCTCTCAAGTCACAGAGGCGGGAAGGCCTCAGAGGAAGCAGCAGCTTCCTGGCCCTCCCTTCCCCTTGGCACCCCATGCTCCAGTTTAAGAGATACCATAATTTTAAATGAGTTTTCTCCTCCCCTGGCTGAAAGGCCATTAGCTCCCCATTAGGTGAATGCGTCCCATTTTCTTCTCACCACCAAGGAAACAGTGATTTACTTAGCTGTCCCTAAAGCAATTCTGCAGAATAAAGGCAATTTTGCAATGGTCTCAATAAACTTCCCCATTTGCTTTCTGCTCACAGACCCCACCCTGAGGAGCCCACCAGCTGACCCAGCCCTTTGGTCCCTGAGTAGGCTGGACTCTGCTAGGGCCCAGGACAGCCAGTGTGGGCCACAGGCAGCTCCCAGAGGCCAGAGTGGCTTAGTGGGCGGGGGCGGAGAGAGAGAAGGCTGGGCCCAGGCAAGCCTGGTGGAGTAGGACACCACTCATCTCTGGCCAAAGAGGGAAGGGGCTGAAAGGGAGAGAAAGAAGTGAGCAGGGCAGCCCTCCTGGCTGAGGGGCTGCTCTGGGCACCTGCCGGTCCAGGCAGAAGTGGCAAACCCAGGTCCAACAGCAGAGGGGTGGGCCCAGCAGCCTGGAGAGGGGGCTGCTAAGTCGTGGCCAGCTTTCCTTTCTTCAGTACCTGGGAGTGAGAGGCCCAGAGGGTGTGCACGCAGAGAGGGCAGGTCTTTCCTTGTGGCTAGAGGTGCTGAGCAAAAAGGGACCCAAGAAGCCAGGCCAGAAAGATGAGCGATGTGAGGCCTGGTGAGGAGCAGCTGGAGGTCAGGGAGATGGTGATGGGTGACGGGTCAGCCTGAGACATTCAGGGGGATCCCCAGAAGCTGGGGCTCAGTTTCTTCATCCATGCCATGGGGATGCCTGTGCCTGCGCTGGAGCAGCAAAAGGCCAGAAACTTCTAAGAACAACTTTTAGATGGAAGTTCTTTAGCTCTGGTTCTAGGATACCCAGGGTTGATGGGCTGTGCTCCTGAGTATGAGCGGGGAGGGGCAGGTGTCCCTGTGGGGGGTCCCAGTGTGTGTGAGTGGCAGAGACAGGGACTGGGTTCCCTGGGGGAGGGTGGAGTGGGAAGGGCCAAGCCACGCTGCGTGAGTGTGTGTGTGTCCACAGGCCTCATGATCACATATCCTTGAGAAAGGGCAGAAGTGTGTCTTAGTGATGACCAAGAGTGAGTGTGAGTGTGTGAGCGTGGATTCAAGTGTGTGTGTGGGGGGGGGGCCGTGCGTGCGCTCACACGGATACCAGCGTGTGGGTGAGGAGTCCTGCCTTACTCTGGGAGTCTGTGTCTGGGTTGGCACCTTTTTCTGAAGGTGTGTGCATTCACACACAATGAGAGTGTGTACACGAGGAGGGGGGCACACCGTGAGGGTCTGTTTATGCCCCAGGACCTTGCTCTGAGCATCCCTAGGCCCTCGAGCCCACCCCTGCCAGCCCTGGGGCAGTGCTTCCCTTCCCCGGCCGCTGCCTCTTCATCTGGTTGCCTCCCTACCCTCCTCTCGTCAGTCCCCCAGCACAGAAGAGAGCTTCGCGTCTCGGGGAGGTGTCTGGGCCAGCACGGGAAGGCTTTCCTCCTCTGGAGACCCGGCCCATCCCCCAGGCAACAGGCCTGGCCACAGGAGGGCTGCGTCCACGAGAGGGCGCCCCGGGGCCGAGCTGCTCTCAGCCTGGTCGAGTCTGGGTGGGAGCAGCGGCCCAGCTCACTGGTGGCGGTCTGCAGCAGCTCACTGAGAGCCAGGCTCAACAGCTCCAGCACTGCTACTCCGGGTAGAGGGTGCCCGCAGGCCTCTCCACGGGCCCGTTGTCTCCTCTTGGGTATCGCGGGGCCACCTCTCAACCCCCAGTGCCACCAATCGTGGTTTCTTGCTCATCCCATGGGAGGGTGGGTGAGGCAGGGGACTTGCTTTCCCTGGATTGGAGAGCCTTTCTCTGATCACCCAACTCCATGCGTCCAGGCTGTGGAGAAGCCACCTGCATTCCCGCCAAGTGTCACAGGCTGCCCTCGCACCCCTACCCCCCAATTCCAGCCCCCCACGGCCTCAGCTGGGACCCCTGACTAAGCGTGGGACAGGCACAGGAAATCCTCCACAAGCTTCGGAGGCTGCCCAGCACGACCTGGCTTCCGGCTCACACCTGATCACCCGCCCACAACTACAAAGTTGCAACCCCGAGTTACAAGAGGTCTTCTGAACACCTTGTGTTTACTTCTGCCCTGCCTGCAGCCTCCTCCTGCCTGTTTTCCCCTCACAGCACTGGACCCCCAGACTCCCGATGCTTTTCCCCATTCTTCCCCAGGTCAAAGAAAGGGTTTCTCCCCTGCCTTCCCTATGATGGGCTGGGGGCCCGTTCTAGCTTCAGTATCTGCCTCGTGAGCTCAAGATGCAGTCACACAAATGAAGCCTTGGGCAGGCCTGGGAACCCAGAGTCTGTGCAGGACCCAGGGCCAGACGCAGGGGATCACCACCTCTTCTGTTCCCAAAGGCCACAGGGAGAGAAAGCCCTTTGTAAGCAGAGGGGGAGGGTGGCCGGAGCTCCTCTCTCAGAGGGCAACTTGGTGCATACTGAGTACTGAAGAAGAGGAAGTCAAGGACAGTTCGAGAGAAACTAAAATTCGTGGTGTGTGGGCAGGGGGGCGGGCAAAGATTCGACAGCCTTGGGGTTCACTCATCCCGTCAGGGTTTTGGGGGTGGAGGCAGTGACCAGCCTTTGCAAGGCCACATCTAATCCTCCCAGCACCGATATTGGCGGCACACCGCCCTACTCCACTGCAGGATGGTCAAAAGCACTTGGTGCAGGTCGGCCCAGAGCCGTCAAATGGTCCCAAAGGCCGCACCTTCAGGTGTCCCCGCCTGGCATCAGCGCGGGACTCGGAAGCCGCGCGTGGGAGTGGAGCCACGGCGGGCCCTCAGCCGGCTGCGCTGGGCCAGTCCGAGCGGGCCCTCGAGGGCAGCCTCCCTAGAAACCACAGCCTTTGGGGTTTTTTAAGGACTAGAGCGGCAAAAACGCACAAGGGAAAAGCAACCATTCTTCAAAACAGCAGATCCCGCGGCTAGCCAGGGTATCAGAGCTGGAGGAAGAATGCACCGACGTGTAGAGCGACAAGGAAACGAAGACGGAGCAATCTTTTACAGAAACACAACTCCTCCCCGCCCAAGTCGCAGACTTTCTAGGGCTACCTCACCCGCCCTCCCCCACCTGCACCGAAACGGCTACAAGCTCCGTTCGGTTCGCTCCAAGACGCTGCTGTGGTGCGAGGCGCCACCAGGCTGGGGAGCGCGGCTGCGACAAGGGCCCTGGGCACCGACCCCGGCCACCCGGCCCGCGTGCCGCTCCGACCCGAGTCCGGCTCCAGCCCGAGACCCGCCCAGTGCGCGGGGCCCGAGGCGCCCTGCACACCACACCACCCCGCTCGCAGCCGAGCCCGGGCGGCCGGCAACTGCGCAGCCCGCTGCCCACCGCAAACAGAAAGGCGTTTCCGAATGTGTCCACTCAGCCGCTCGGCGCGCGGTGCCAACTTCGTCTCGGCCGCTGCGGGCACCAGTCCCCGGCAGGACTCACCTTCGCCGAGCAGCGGCAGCAGCAGCAGCAACCGCAGCCCCACGGTGCCGGCCGTCGCCTTCTCCATCGCCGGTGCACGCTGGGGCCGCGGCGAGAGGGACGGTGGCTTGGGCTGGGGGTCTCGGCGGCGGGGTGCGGCGCTCAGCCGGGCTGCCCCATGCCCGGCCGGGACGCGGTGGACGAGATGAACACTGCGGGCGCAAAGCGTCGGGGCACGGGCTCCACGGTACTCTCCGCAGCTGCGCGCCGGGCTCCGGTCGCGGGGCCTGAGGCGAGGCGGGGCGGGGTGGGGCGGGGCGGTGAGGGGGCGGGGCGGGCGGGGCGGGCGGGGCCCGGGTGCGGGCGGGGTGCGGGAGTAAGGGCGGGGCACTGGGTACCCGCCCAGGCGATGCCTGGTGCGGTTCCCGCGGGGCGCGGTTTAGGAGACCAGTGCCGGACGCGGGGTGCGGGCCGGGCGGGGCGCGAGTAGGGGCGAGGTGCGGGACCCGGGGTACCGGCCCGCCAGCCGCAGCCCGAATCCGCGCACCTCCGCACGCACAGCCACTCTTCCTCACTCTATGCGCCCGCTCTCGGTCTGTGCGCTTCGACCTTCCCCGCCGCCCAGAGAGGGCAGGGAAACCACGGGGATGCGGGGGTGCGCCCGAGTGGACGTGGAGACTAGGCAGGCGCCCCGCCTCCAGGCTCCGGGCGCGGTGCGCATCCTCAGCCATTTCTCGGAGGGGGGAGGCGCGGTGGGAGCGCGGCCTCTCTTGGGGCCGGAGGCGGGAGGAGGGGAAGTGCCCGGGTGGGGGAAGGGGAGCTTGGGCGCTTTCTGCGCACGCCGGGGGTGAGCCTGGCCTGTGGCTTCCAATGTCCGCGGTCGCTCTAGGGGTGTCCTAGGGTTAGTTTGTGAACCTGCCTCTTTAGGACTGGTCCAACCAATGAAACCAGGAAACTGACTCTGGAGCTGGCTTTAATGGGGTGCTTGGAGGGTAGGTACTCCCTCTCCCCAACCAAACAGAAGAATTCTTAGGATGGGGGGCTGACTGGGTAGCAGAGCAAGTAGCGAGGAGGAACTGGAGCCCCAAAGAATTTAATTTTTGCCCCAAGAAATGATGTCCATAAACACATCCAGTACTCAAAAGGGAAGACTCTGGGTCCCCAACATGGGGGGTCCTGGAGGTTGGAGGTGAGCTCTAGGCCTCTGTGGGAAAAGTCCACTGTTATACTCCCACCCGCTAGCTGCCTTTTGTGGTCTGGCCCTCACCTAGGCACAGAGGAATGCAAGCCTAAGGGGCCTTGGGGTGGGAGGGTCCAGGGTACCTAGGCCTGGGGTGCCCCTATTTCAGTGTCTCTTCTTCCGGCTGTGCACAGAGCCCCGCCCTCTTGCTTGGCTGAGCTCAGGGCTGAATAAGGGCTCTCTGCACATCACTCTGCAGATATGAAGTCAAAGTGAAGTCACCCTCGCAGGCATGAGGAGGAGCTGCCAAGACAGGCTGGCTGGGGGCTCTGCCGGCTGAGATGTCCAAGCCGGCCTGCTGGCTGGAGGCCAGGGCACAGTGCTGCCAGCTCGGGAGAGCCACCCTGCGGCCACCCGACCTTGTGTTGCCTGCCTCACGCTCCCCGAGCCCCAAGCCCTTGGATTTATGGGGCCGGAGTTGGCCGTGGGGGACTCCCCTGGGTGTAGACAGGCCCTACCTCTGGTGCTAGTAACAACTACCAAGGCTGCACATTCAGGCCTGTGCACAGGGAAGGGACCTGAGTGGGAAGGGAGGGCCTGAGGGGAACTTCTTTGTTACCAACAGGCTCCTGTGGCAGAAGAATGCAGAAGGAAGAGGGGTCTCCTGGCCCATTCTTCCAACCAGCCCCACCCCTGTGCCCCCCCCAGGGACCACCCTGGCCAAGCCTTGGCTGACACGGGCCAGGCTGGATGTCTGGTTGTGCTCCGTGTGACCACCTCAAGGACCCATTTGAGGCTGTGTCCCTTCTTCAGTCCTCAGGCCCTTCCACTCTCCTCCACCACCCTTGGGGGTCTTCAGAGGACATCTGACACTATGCTGGGGACATTGCCCTCTTCTTAGAAAAAGGTCTGGGGAGCCTCATATGTGTATCCCTGTACCCTCATATGTTGTACCCCTGTACCCACATGTGCATACACCTGTGTTCACATACAGGGATATGGGTGCATACCCTCACCCGCGTGCATGCCCAGAGATCTGACCAGAGGAGGATCCGGGAAAGCACAGAGGTGAAGTGCTTGGCTTGTTGACCTCGGGTCCTGCATATCCGTAAGAGACACCCCTGTGAGACTCAGACAAGGCCTGACCTCAACTCTGCCCTACTCACCCTTCCATGGGTTCTTCAATGGAGTTGTTTTTCTCCTCTGAATTTCCTGCCCCACCTTCCTTTCCTCCCTTCCTTCCTCTGCTCTCCCCTTCTCCTCATTCCCCTCCTTCCCTCCCATTCCCTGCAAGAATCTCTTCTCCATTCCTTTGCCCCAGCACAAGAACCAGGCTAGCTGCCTCACTGGGGCCTCAGCGTCTTCATCTGTAACATGCAAATAACGATATAGTAACTGCCCTGCAGTGTTGTGAGGCTGAACCCAAATGAAGCATTGACAGAATCAGCACAGTTTCTGGCTCCCCAGAAAATGAGCTTTTTTTTTTTTTTTTTTTTTTTTCTTCTTCCAGGGTCCTCTGAAGTCCAAGGAGCTGTCTGGGTGGGAGGCTGGGGGCAGTGACATTGTGTGAAGGTTGAAGGTGTGCTCTGAGTTGTATCCTGGCTGGGTCTCTGGTCTGTGTGACCTCGGCATGTTTGCAACGTCTCTGGGCCTCAGGAAGGCAGAGCTCCATCCCCCCAGGTGCCTGAAGACAGGTGAGTCCCCGGCAATCAGCATGAGCTGTCACCGTCACCATTGATTCCCATCGGCTGTGACGCTGAGGCCGAGGCCAAAGTGGTCAGTGGACATTGCTAAGGTAACACGGAAAGCAGGTGGTCCCTACAGCAAGCTGTCTGCTGCCCTCAGCTCTGGCTCCCCACTTGTATAGGTAACGAATCACACCCTGTATGGGATGGCAGCCAGTGAGACCGGCCTGTAGGAGCCAACACCTGTCTCTGGCCCTCCCCATAGGACCTGCAGCTTTCTCAGTGATAGGAGGGAGAACCCTGGCGCCCCAGAGGCCTCTCTGCCACAGCAGCACTTATCTGCGCGTATACTTACACATTCAGGAGCAGTGGGTTGATTCATGCTGACGCCTCACTGAGGCTTTGGGGGGCTTGCTCACACCGAGTCCCCAGCCCGAGGGTACCACTGGAACCTGATGGGGCCTCAGGCCTGGCAGTGCCCGCCTCTTGCCTCAAGGACACCAAAGAGAAGGCCCATCCTGGCTCTCGAGTGAGCGTGGTAATAACAGGGAGCTTGAATTGGCGAGTCTGGCAGATACGGCCTGAATGCTTTTTGGAAAAAGCATCTCCCAAGGCAGTTTCATAATCTGCCTTGTAATGCAGATTTAGACAAGTTTTTACGAATGCACTTTTTAAAATAGGTCTTAATGGATCCTTTGCAGTAGTTACAGTCCATTGTGTAAATGCAAACAGAAGGCTTTTTGAAAACATGTATTATTGATCAGAAAGGCAGCAGCAATTAGAAGCCAGTGTGTCATATCATTCAATACACACTTCCTATACAGCCCTGCTTGTGCTCTCTCATAACTTTCTGACAAATTATCCTGTCCCTGGGAAGCCCTTTCTTTTCCCTTTTGCTTCTGGGAGCGAAGGAGGACCTCCCCATCAGTTACTAGCTAGAGGTGAATGAAAAATGAAGCTTCCCCTTTACCATCGCAAAACCTGTTTACGACTTCTCCGGTTTCAAGACTGAGATGGCAAAACCTTCAGGTAAGGTGGACGATGCTTCTCAATTTGGTCTCCGGGCCACAGTGAAAAAAACCAAAACAAAACTGGTGACAGATAGCATGTTCTGTGGGAGGGCAGAATCACAAAGCTGGGGGGGTCTGAGCCAGAACCCTGCAGGGGAGCCTGCTTTGTGGGAGGGGTGTTCAACCAGGGTCCACAGGGAGGAGCTCTGGATGCCCCTCCCCAGTCATGGAACCTAAAATGATCCACTAGGATAAAGCTGAGACTTGTTTTTGCTTAAAAATCCATATTTGGGTCTGTATTTCACCCGATCTGCACATTTCCCATTTGCCCTTCTTCTTGAAAAGTTCATTTATTTAACAAACATTTGCTGGGCACTCACTGTATTCCAGGCACCCTTTCCAAAGTCCAGTGAACGAAACAATCTGGGTGCTTCTTAAGGACAATCATCAACACGTAAGGCACACATGCAGCCCAGTCAGAAGTGACCCCAGATGGGGTGAGACGCGGGGCGGGGTGTTTATCAGGGCTGGATGTCCTGGAGAGCTGACTTTGGGCAAAGACAGAGCTGTGGGGACAGCGCTGCCCGCAGGGAGCAGGGAGGTGACAGGACATGCCCTGGAGTTCCCTGCGTTGCCCCAGCAGGGACAGGAGGCCGTCCTTTGTCTCCCCACGATAGCATCTTCTCAGCAGCCTCAGCTCACCCCTCTGGAAGATGCAACTCTGGTCTCTGAGAGGGTTACAGCCTGCAGGATCTGCAGAGTGAAGACTCTGACCTGGGCAGTCTTTTGGAGCCGAAAAAACGTGCTGTGCTCTTGGTGTGCTGACAAATAGGAAGTCCGTTGACTTAACACCCTACGATGTCTTCCAAAGCCTCCCTGCCCAGGATGGTGTGGGCTGCAGCTCCAGGCACAGTGTGCAACTTCCACATCCATCTCAGGCCTGCGGGTGATGAGGCGGTGCGCTGTGAGCTGGAGGAGAGGGGGAGAGGGGGGCCAGCCACCTGCCCTTGTGGGGGGGGCCAGGGTGTGAGGGCACAGCCTGGGTGGCTCCCCCAGTCCCCTGTGCTTGCAGACAGGCCCAGGAGAAGCAGAGCACTTACTTGCCCCCTTCTCCCCACCCCCACCCCGGAAGTGCCCCGAAGACCTCGCTCAGCTGTTGCAGCTGCCCCAGGTGGGAGGGGGCGCTGTTCTCAGGTAGATCTAGGGTGCCCTCCTTGCTTCCTCTCCAGCACCTCCCTAGGGTTGCTACCTGAGCTTAGGCGCACTGGGGGCTCCCAGTCCCGCTGAAGACCCCTCACCCAGCCCGGATGGGGCCCCTCCCTGCTTGCTGAGAAGCCGGCCAGCCAGGCCTTCATCCCCTAGCGCTGTGCAGTGGAACGTTCTGCAGTGGTGGTAACTTCCTGC